CGGCAGTTCGATACTACCCGCCGTTCCGTGGGAGAAAGATGAGGCTTTCTGCTCCTGTAAAGATTTACAGCCTCGGAAACCTGTTACAGGATCGCTATGAGTTGGAACCGACTCTATGGTACTTAACAACAACAACACCGTACCCTTGGCTTCCGCCTCCCCATCTGTGAAATGAGGATCATGACAGTACCCATTTTGTGAGGCAGTTGTGAGGACTGGATGGTTTCCTCTGTGTGGGGACTTGGAGCAATGACAAGAACATAAACTCGGTGCTATCAAGGACTTTGTCTAAGTCCCCAGCACCTGGAACACCGAATAAATAGTTGTAGAATTGAGATCACATGAATTGTTTCATTCCTGAATCTTAGGGATGTTGAGAAAATTTAAATGCCTGTCTGGCCAGTCAGGAGCCCTGGTGTGGTGGCACGGTAGTTAAAGGTTATGGAAAGGTCAGTGGTTCAAACCCACCAGCCGCACCTCAGGAGAAAGATGTGGCTGTTTGCTTCTGTCAAGATTTGCAGCTCTACTTTGCCCTACAGGGTTCCTATGAGTTGAAATGCCTTTTCTGCTTATTTCCTGTAAGAGGAATCATAAAAAATGTGTGGTCTTTTGCATCTGATTTCTTTCACTTAACATATTGATTTTGGTGCTCGGCTAGGCTGTGTTGTAGCATTTATCAGTACTTTATTCCCTTTTATTGCCAAATAGTATTCCACTGTGGGAGTACATCACATTTTGTTTCTCTCTACCAGATGCTCAGTGAATTTCACTTGTTCGCAATTTTTCCTGGTGTGGCGCTGTGGTGTTAGCACTGGACTGTGAAGCGCAAGGTCGCCATTCAAACCCACCAGATGCTCCTTGGAAACTCTAGACAGGGTTGCTTTGAGCGGAACCAATTGGATGGCACTTAACCACAACCAGCTGATGCGAGTATGACTTGTTCCCAGTTTGGGGTTGCTATGAATAATGTGAACATTGGTTTACAAGTCATTGCAGAAACATGTGTTTTCATTTCTCTTGATATTTAGGAGAGTAATTGCTGGGTCATATGGTTGTTTTGTGTTTAACTTTTTAGAGAAATTGCTCAACTGCTTTCCAAAGTGGTTGCACCATTTTGTATGAGGGTTCCAATGTTTTGTTTACCCGCATTCTTGTTAGCCTGGTTACTGGCCATCTTTTTGTAGTGTAGCTCATGGGTGTGAAGTACTAACTCATACTTTTCATTTCCCTCATGGTTAGTGATGTTGAGCAATTAAAAAAAAAAAAAAATATATATATATATGCTTGTTGGCTTCTTTTGTGATATAGCTATTCAAATGTTTTGTGTATTTTTAATTGAGTTACTTACCTTACTGAGTTATAAGAGTTCTTTGTGTAGTATAGATGCAAGTCCCTTTTCAGATAGATGATATAGGAATACTTTTTCCCAGTCTGTAGCTTATTTATTTTTCTTTTTGTATTTTTAATGGTGTGTTTTAAAATGCAAACGTTTTTAATGATTTTAATTTGTATGAAGTTCAATTGTTTTTCTTTTAGTGATAATATTTTTGATACCATAGCTAAGAAATCTTAACTCTAGGTCCCCAAAAGTCATTCCTCTATATTTTCTAAGAGTTTTAGCCCTTACATTTATGTCTGCAGTGTATTTCAGGTACGTTTTGTGTACAACGTTGAGGTAAAGGTCTAAACTCATCTTCTGCATATAGAGGATGCGTGTCCAGTTATCCCAAGACTCATTTCCTTAGTGGTTTTTTTTTTGAAAATCAACCAAGTCTGGATTCAGTTTCATTCCATTGGTACTGTGTGTCATGTCATTCCTTGTGCGTGGACCGCACGGTTCTGATTTGTGGTCAATTTCAAAACCAGCAAGTATGAATTCTCCAAATTTCTTCTTCTTTTTTTTTTTTTAAATGTCACACACCCAAAATATATCTTGGCCATTCTGGATCATTTGCACTTCCGTGCTGGTGGCAGTTGGCACACTGGTTGGTTTCTGTCAGACCTTCCCGGTTTCGCAGCCTTGAGAGCCCTTTCTCCTCAGCTGGTTCCTGACATCACCACCCTCTAACCCTGCTGCCTTCCACCTGTGCCAACTCCAGACTCCAGCTTTGTCTTCTGGGCTCCCTCCACCCCCAACCTTACCCATCTGCTGTCGTTGCTCCTGAGTATTGTTCTTATTTTCCCTGGGCTCCCATAGTCCTTTGTGCTTCCTTTTCAGCCAGGCTCACTTTGTTGAATTGGGATGGGCTTTTTGCTTGTCTGTCTCTGCCTTTGCCCTGGTGCATCCTCGAAGGCAAAGTCTTGGTCTAGACACCTTTGTTCCACTGTGTCTGGTAAAGGGTTTTTCAGGGGGCAGTTACTGTTAGGACGAAGACCCCAATACCTCACATTTTGTCTCCCTGAGGCTGCTGCTGGTTCTTGTGCTCATGCCAACCCTTGCTACATCCCATTCTGCTGACAGGCCTGCAGTTTCTCTCACCACCCAGATCTGGGACCTTTTCCTTACAGGTGACCTCACCTCCCGGGACTCCTCTTTTAGGATTGTCCCTCTTGCCCCATCTTTCCCTGATTAACTGGATTCTGTGGAGCGGATCTCAGACTGCAGACTGCGTCACTGTGTGATACCTGGTGTAGTCTGAGTAGTTTTGACTTCAGCTCTGGTAGCGTAGTGGTTACTAATCTCACAGTCAGCAGTTCGAAACTACCAGCTGTTCCATGGAACAAAGATAAGGCTTTCTGCTCCTGTAAAGATTTACAGCCTCAGAAACCCTATACAGGGTCGCTATGAGTCGGAACCGACTCCACAGCACAGAACAACAACAGCATCTAACTGATATACTTACTGCATGCCTGAGTTTAAAGCGAAAGTCAGCTTTCTGGCGCTTTCATCATGAGGAACAACATAAAGGGATAGGTCCCATGCCACCCAAAATACTGTATCATGCCAACTTGCTAGCGTTCTGGTGTGATGCTGTCCGATAAGCATTAGACTTTTAATTTCAATGTCAGCGGTTCAAACCCACCAGCTATTCCTCATAAACCTTCTACAGGTTTGTTATGGGTCGGTACCAACTTGACGGCACCGATCATTAACAACAATATTATCAGTTATGAGGTGCTCCCTAATTTTATGGGACACAGCCTCAAAAACCCTATACAGGATCGCTATGAGTCAGACCTGACTCCACAGCACACAACCACCACCAGCACCAAGGAAAGTTCTGGTGGCCCTGCGGGTCAATGCGCTGGACTGCAAAGTCAGTGTGAACTGCAAGGTTGGTGGTTCAAGCTCGCCAGCTACTCCTCGGAAACCCTGTACAGGGTCACTATGAGTTGGAACTGACTTGACAGCACCTAACCGCAAAACAGCAACGAAGAAATGCTCATCTGTCTGTGAAATAGTTTTTTCTTACATTGATATCAAGATATATTCTGATCCAGAATGCAAACCTGTTGCTGCTAAGCCGATTCCTACTCCCAGTGCCCCTATGTGTTATAAATAGTCTATAGTCTTGGGGACCATCCGAGGGGTCCCCGTGGTACTACTGCCCGGGATTTTCTTGGCTAATAGAAATCTTTATGGCTGCAGATTGTTCAGCATTGCTGGGTGGGTTCAGACCACCAACCTTTAGGTTAGTAACCAATCATAAACTGTTTGTACCACACGGGAACCTAATTCTGATATCAGAGGCTCTAACTGTGAAGGAAGGAAGAGGTGCATCTCAGAGTTCATGAAATGTCGTCCTAGAATTCTTCTCTCTGGGAACGATTTCCTTTCCCTGACTTCCTCCTGTCCTCCCTTCCGCCATCTTTTCTCTCACACTCTCTTTGCTCTGCTCCTATTGTCCCCGTTCACATGAGTGTGCATTGTGAGACACAACGGATCACCGTCCCCTTCTTTCCATACTTGGTTAGGAATATACATTCTTCTTTCTTTCTGTTGCCTTCTAACAAAATGTCACATACTATTTTAGTTCTTGCCTGACTAATCTACATGTTTCCCATTCTAGACCTTAGCGTAAACAGGCATGAAAATGGATCCTAACCGACTTCAAGGTCACCATGAGCATGTGTGTACACACAGAAGTGTTTGCTGGGTTTCCTCAACTGCCCACATAGGCCCAGTGCAATGTCATGCATTTGCTATGGATTTAAGGAACTACCTTTTCTTAACCCCAGCTTTATGCCTGACCAGAACAACGGGGAAGTTTGTTTAATGATAAACCCACTGGCTTTCTGCCCCTTAATTAGAATTAGCAATTTATTTTTGAGTTTCCATCTGTGGTGCTTGAGGCATCTGCCAGGGTGATTCATGCGTGGGTGGGCTAGGCAGCAGGATCTGTGTGAAGGGGGTGATCAGCTCTGGCAGGGGGAGGTTCTCCCAGGGAGACAAGCACTGTGTTTGCTCAGTCTGGAGTTCCCACAGAATCATGGGAAACCGGATAAGTGTCTGGGCTGATGTTGTGAAACTGGGCACCGTTTTATTTCTAACATGTAAAGTGAGTGCTGTCCCCTCACCCTAAACAGTCACCTGCAAACATTATAACGCATTATAGCTGTTAAACTTGAAAGTATGCAATAGAATTTTGTTAATTGTGCTACTCGTGTGAAGCTTTCTGATTTTCCTAAACTGTCAGCTAAAATCAAGTTTCAGGAACACACTCCTTCATTTACTAATATATGCCTTTGGGATGAATGTTGGGACGATAATCTCTAAAGGTCTTTTTAAGTCAACTTACTGTTGAGTTTATTTTCACTCCAGTTAAGAAACTGCAATTCCATATCCCATAAGTGAAACACTGTGTTTAGTGTTTCTGTGGTACATTTAGAAATAAAATAGCATTCATGTGCTTGAGGCCAGTGCTTAGAGTCTTCAAGACCATGCAAACCTATGGCTCTAAGAGCTATGGGACCCACACAATGATTAATTCGCAATGCTGGCCTGCCTCCTACAAAGCATGGTGTGCTAATGATGTTCATTTTTTTTTTCCTTTATCCAGCCCCTTTTATGGAGAAGACTTTTACTGTGAAATTCCTCGGAGTTTTCGCCACCTGTCATTTTACATTTTTGATAGAGACGTTTTCCGGAGGGATTCCATCATAGGTAGGTATTTAAATGGATGTTTTGTTCTTCTTCCCCATCTTGGAATCTTATCAGGTCTGCTAGAAGTGGGATACAGTCTTGTCTAAGCATTCCCATCCAATCCCGCATTAGAACCAAATACATAGTGTGTTCGAAGACCTTTGGACATACATTTAGAGAACCAGATTGTGTGTATCCCTGTTGTGTTTAATTTTACTTATGTAGTCCTGGTAAGGAGCTCTGGTAGCGTAGTGGTTACGAATCGGGCTGTGAACCGGAAGGTCAGCAGTTCGAAACTACCAGCTGCTCCGTGGGAGAAAGACGAGGCGATCTGCTCCCGTAAAGATTTACAGCCTCGGAAACCCTATTCAGGGTCGCTATGGGTCGAAACCGACTCGACGGCACTTAACAACAACAACAACATGTAGTCCTGGTATAACAGTGGGTACCAGGACATGCAGGCTGAGCAGGTGTGGGAAGGTAAGTGTGTCTAGGTTTCACAGACAATGTTTCTACATGTATCTTTACATATACTGCAGATCTTTCCATGAAGATTGTTGTTGTTAAGTGCTGTCAAGTTGGTTCCAATGCATAGTGACCCTGCATAGTTTCCAAGGAGTGACTGGTGGGTTTGAACTGCCAACCTTTTGGTTAGCAGTCCAGTCCTTATTCTACAGTGTCACACTAGAACGTAAAGTATAAAAGGGGCAAACTTATGAAAACTGCTGAATCCGGACCTAATAGCTTGAGGGAATTAGTTTCTGGGCCTGAGGCCTCAGGACCATAGTCTTGGGGAACATCAAGGTCCACAAAGAACATGTCTGTATTGTACTTTCAGTAGCAACTGGGTTCTTCAAAGCTTGTGAGAGACAATCAAAGGTGCAGGGGTGGGTCTCTCCCCATCTGGAGCAAAGAAAAGTGAAGAATATCAAACATGCATGCACACAATTGGTCCTAGGGACTAATGGACCACACAAACCCCAGTGTCAACGACCTTGGGGCCAGAAGAACCAGATGGTTCCCAGCCACCACCGCTGATTTCTCTGAAAGGGATTGCAACAGGAGGTCCTGCATACAGTAGGAGAAAAATGTGGGAAAACCCTGAAAAACATAAAATAAGACCCAACTCACTGGCCATGTACAGACTGGTGGAGCTACTGAGACTGTGGCCTTTGGTCACTCATTCCTGAACTCATTCCTGGGACTCACCTAAACAATGAATAGTCTGTCTGGGGAGCAATGATATCAAAGAGGAGTGCCGTCCTTGCAATAATATGAGATCAAAGGAGCAACATTCAGAAGACAGAAAGCGAGAAAAGGCAGAGGACTAGAAGCGGGAATGCAGGGAGGACATGAGATGATTGATGTCCCATTGTAGAGGCTGCAATCAACGAAACCAAAAGTGTATCAACTGTTGAATGGAAAATGCATTCTCTCTGTCAACTTTCACCCAAGTCATAATAAAAATTTAACAACAAAAATATGTAGGGTGTCCTTGAGGTTGTATTGAGGGCAGATGTGCCGTCCTTTGGAAATGCTGGAGTTATTCCTTACTATAGAAATGGCCCGTTAGGTAAGAAGTGTACTTGTTAAGAAGTGTAGTTGTCAAGAAGTATAGTTATTAAGAAGAGGGTGTTTGGGATTAGGCTTATCTGCAAGTGCATCCAAGCCAAGCCACTTATTAGATCCTTGGCCTTAAGCAGGTCATTTACTTCCTGAGCTCTCAGTTTCCCTGTTGGGTTGCCCCTGGTTTTCCTGCCCCCAGCAGATAATTGTGGAGGGGCAGAGGGGCCTCCTTGCAGGGTCCTGGGACTGTTGACAGCTCACTTTAAGAGCTTGTCGCCATCAGACCTGTAGCCAAGAAGATTTCCGGTGACAGCGCGTATACCCTCGGTCCTGGCTGGAGATCTTTGTACCCCAAAGCACCCAGAGGACTCAACTGTGAGCTGGTCTCATTGATAAGGAGCTCGGGTAGTGTCGTGGGGTCATGAGTTGGGCGCTGACCACAAGGTCAGCAGTTTGAATCTGCCAGCTGTTCCATGAGAGAAAGGTGAATCTTTCTGCTCCTGTAAAGACTTACAGCCTTGGAAATCAAGGTCGTTACTCCGAAATCAAGGTTGTTGTGAGTCAGAATTGACTCCATTGTCACATGACCACCACTACCAAACATAGAAGAGATAGAAAGGGGCTAGAGGTTACCAGGCCTCCTGGGGTGGGGCTGTAGGATCAGCATGGACCATGAACCACATGATCGGCAGTTTAAACCCACCAGCTACTCCTTGGAAATCCTATGCAGACTCACTATGAGTCGGAACCTACTGGATGGCACTTAACAAACCAACACTAGGGAACTCTGTCTATCCCACCTGGAATATCCTCTTCAGGCCAAACCAGGGCTGGGCACTGTTCTAAGAGGAACAGTGTCCAGAACCACTGAAAGCAGAGTTACTGTTGGTTAACTGCTCCCACCTCACTGGAGCCTGGGTTCTCCCTATAGAGTCTCTTCAGCTCCTGGTGTTCATAATAATGTTACTGTGTGTTTATTACACTTGTCTTGTGATGTGCAGTGTGGAAGGTGCAGGTGAAATGATCACAATTCGGACATACGTGTCCTTACTCACTGCCATGTGCTGCGTACACGTGTAGGCAGGATGAGCCCAGTAGTGAGCCAAACAGACAAGATGCTTGCCCTCCTGAAGATGACCGCTTCCTCCCAGGTGACTGCTGAGAGAAGCGTATTTCAAAGGGTGTATCGAACTTGCCTTTCATTGCAAAGCTGAGGGTAACGCTGTGGGGACCACAGTGTAATCCCTGTTGTTCCAAGTCTTCTGCTCTTTGACGCGAGCGGGGAGGGGTGCTCTTTCAGCCACGTGAGCGTTGGAGAAGACTTCTGTGGAGTGTGAATCTGCGTGGCCTCCCATTCTCGGATAGTTTAGTCAGCGAGGTGCTCAGGTTCAGGCACCAGCTCTGTGGGCAGGCTCTTGTTTCCTTTCAGCGTCAGTGGGAACCATGTTGACCCCTTGGCGATCTCCATGTATGTTGGCATCTTCTGTGTGCAGGGACCCCGGATTCACAGAACACACCCCACTCTCAGCTCTTGTATCTCGGTCGTCCTCTGCTTACTTCTGTCTTCTTTTGTCTCTTCTAAGAGACACATCTGATTAAGGCCAGACCACCCCTTACTAAGGACCACTTTACAGGGAACGACACATCACCACCTAACTGACAAACTGCAGCCAGACCACTGAGAATCTTGGCCCGGCCAAGCAGGCACGTCCTGTGATGGGGCAGGGGGTACACAAGTCCAGCTCCAGGAGTGGAATTTGGTCACCCTGAGACTTCAGTAGGGGAGAGATTTAACAGTCAAGAGTCCTTACCCCTCTGCCTGCCTCCCCATGCCCTACTGTCCCCTGAATTACTGCCGATGAGTTAGTTACAGGTGGTTCTTGATAGGTGTCGTCCAGCTGGTTCTGACCCACAGCAGCTCCGTGTAGAACTGATCCAGAGTGGTTTCTTTGATGCAGTCTTTTGGGAGCAGATAGCCAGGTCTTTGTCCCTTGGAGGCATGGGGTGGGTTCAGACGGCCAGCTTTTTGTCTAGCAGCTGAACTCTTAGCTGTTCCATTAACAGAGCTCCTTAAGGTGATTAGTTATTGCCTCAGAAAGTCCCAAGTTTGATCATTTCTCTCCACTGTCTTGAGCGAGGCGTCAGTTGTAAACAGTGAATGAACTTGGTACAGTCCACCAACTTTGAGGTCAGGGCATATCATACAAACAAAGACAATGGCTGTGTAACGGCACAGTGCATATTGAGAAAAGCAGTTCTACAAATGAGATGAAGTGAAATTAAATTTAACAGGAGCTCACAAATCCTTTTAAGGAAAACATTTAAACCAAACAAAGTATGTAAGAAACAGGGCCTCTCGCTAACCTTGTGTAAATAAACCCAGAAACCTGTGATCTTTTCTTCTTTCCCACCAGGCATTCCTTCCCCTCCCTGCTCATCCTCCCACCCCCCATGACCATTGAAATGTTTAAAAATAAATTTGCCGCCCCCACCACTGAGCTTTTGTGAATTCAGAATGCCTGGTATAGCGAACAGCGAGCTCGAGCGTCTTGTCCCTTGGAATGGTCTCTATGGTAGTGATTGGAGCTTAACTTTATGGAGAAGCTGAAAATGAATAGAGCCAATAGGTACTGTAAATGTGCTCATTCTGAAGAGAGAGAATGAGTGCCTGAGTTTGTAAGTCAACCTTTTGGTGTTGCGGTTTCTTGAGGTTGATGGTGGGTACTTTGAACCATGAGTTGCAGCTTCACGGTGTTGGGGACCCTGGTGGCTGTGTTTTTGCCACTGGTCTGCGGTTAATGGTGGGTAGTTTGAACCGTGAGTTGCAGCTTCATGGTGTTGAATACCCCGGTGGCCAGTGGCTGTGTTTTTGCCTCTGGTCTGTTGATGGTGGGTACTTTGAACCAGGAGTTGCAGCTTCACCAGGGTGTTGGGGACCCTGGTGGCCTGTGGAACAGATTGTTGCATCTCCGCAGCTGTTGATCACCAGGTTTACACCTCCTCAATTCCCAGCGAAGATTTTAATCTGTCCTTGAGGAGCTACATCCAGCAAGTTGCCGAGGGCAATTCCTAGAATTTGTGAAAAGGAAAACTATCCCCTGATTTCAGAGCCTTGCTTCAGGACCCTTTTCACCTGTGAAATAGTTTTAAAATATAGTTATGGATGCTTTTTAGCTTTCTAGTTTGAATGATTTGTTGGAAAGCATGTGGGATCAGAGAAATAATCTGTTTCCTTTGAGGGGACGGGGAAGTCTGCTAACTTGTACTGAGGTATCCAGAACATCTTACGCCATGCAGAGCCAATTTCAGATCAAGGACTTTTCCCTCCAGTGTTTCCATTCTCTGAGCTCCTGGTTTTTAAGCAAATCTAGAGGATTCATGAGTCTACATCTGGCCAGGAAAAGCTAGTCCTATTCACAGTGATAATAAACCAGAAATGGAAGGGCCAAGTATGG